AAGTTCCTCTGAAGAGGGCGCCCCCACCAAAGCCTAACCTGGGTGGGAGGCAGGTACCAGTAGGTGGCAAGGGTCAGCATGGATGGGACAGCTGGGTGCCAGCTTTCAGTTCTCATCTTGTAGTGGGATTCTTCCCATCCAATGCAGAGATCCTAGCCCCCTACACCATCTCCTTACTCAGGCTCTGGAAGGGCCTTTAGCCCTGTCAGAATGGTCTCAAGCCAGGACTCTGAGGACATCTTTTTAACAGAAAAGGCAGTGGGACTAGCCCTCTGGCGGCCAGAAGTGTGGGTTCAGGGTTGAACTAGCAAAGTCTCAAGGGTGAATCAGGGTCTGTGTCCCTGACAAAGGGACTTTATCCCTGTCCCAGAGGGGTGTCCACACTTTGCATGTTTCCCCAAGGCCTTCAGAATATTTGGAACTGGAGGGCTCACTGGTGGCCTGCAGACAAACATGAGTGTTTTCCCAAAACTTGAATTTTCATGCCTTTAAGCCAGAAATGTAGTCTTGTTTGGCAGAGTCCTCACCACTCCCTATTGTCTAGCACCTGCACTTTCTTATTTTCCTAACCTGAAGGCATTTGTTGAACCTGCAACCCAGGCCCCTTAGAATACCTTCTCCCCACTGCCTATGAGTTACGTGCACTCCAGGCCCATGTGAGCTCCTCTTAGCTTAACTTTAGTCCTTGGGAGACACTGGGGCCTCTCCTTGCACACTTAGCCTGCTTGGTCCTTACCCTGAGATCTGCCCCCTCCCTGTTCTCTGTCCTCTGAGTTCTCTAGCTTTCATGGGTAGCAATGCCTCTGTGGGGAACTAGTTGCGGGAAAGGCAGATTTTGGGGAGACACAGAATGAGGCAGATGAGAAGAGGGGGCAAAGAAGCCTCCTTTGTTTGGGAGCCTTGTGCAGGGGGTGGGGAAGTGAGGGATGGATGGAGGTCTGTGCTGTCAACTGGGGCAACAGTTACAAGGCACGTGGTACGTCAGTGCATGGTGGTGTGATGAGGAATGAGTGGTGCCTGCAGGTTTGGGGAGCACTCAGCAGCCTGGGACCAATTCACAGGACATGGGAAGGCGAACTTAAGAAAATAGAAGACTGAAATTTGCACTGGGAGTGCAGACAGTGGGAGGTTTCCTGGGGGTGGAGACATTGAGGGCAGGGGAGGACCTGCCCCCAGACATTCTTTCCCCAGAATGTCCTGTTCTCTTCTGCTACTGTCAATATTGTTCCCTATCACCTCTTAGCCCCAGGAAATTCTTTACTCTGCCACTGATTTCCTGTGTGATCTTGAGCAGGTTCGTGTCCCATCCTGTCCTCAGTCAGAGTGGAGTGAGCCCTGGAGGCAGAGTTCGCAGAGTGGGGCACAGCTAACTCAAAGGCAGTGTCTCTGTGGTGGCTGAAATCCACTGAGCTGCTCTGATAAAGATGAGCAATCTCCTCCCATGCAATTCACAGCCTCGGGGGTGGGGGGACCCACTAGAGGGGCAGCTAAGAGTCAGATCCGACTCAATGGCAATAAGAGAATCAGTGTGCAGAGACCAGACTCACTGGTATCACAGTGACCAGAGGAGCTCCTGAGACTGCTGTCCTATGTCCCCATCCTAAGATGGAACTGAAGCCACTCCTGGAGGCCACACAATAGCTTGGCCTATGAAAGAGACAAGAACATTGAGGAGAATGTGCTCCTCAGACCAATCGATACATGAGCTCCAAAGGGCAACATGTGCCCAAAAATAGAGATGAGAAAAGCAGAGAAACTGGGTAAATAGAAACAGGGCATTCCAGGTAGCGGCGGGGAGGGCACTGGCCCATTGCAGAGGCTACAAGCAAGGCCATGGAACAATCTGCACAGGAATTACTGAATGGAAAGCAAATTGGCTGGGTAAGCTTTCACCTAACGCACAGTAATATGTTTAAACAAAGGAAAGGTGTGCAGGGCAGGCGGCCCCAAGGAGCCCATAGGTTCCCCTGGACTGTGGCTCTGGCACCCTCTCAGCTCCAGCACCCTGTGGGATTCTTGGGAAAGACTGAGCATCCAGGTGGGCACAGGGATGGTGAGTGGGAAGCAGGAGTTAGGAATCCAGTCTGGCAGGGAAGAGAGAGCTCAGCTGAGGTAGATCGTGTCACAGAAAAAATTAAACAAAAAAGGTTTGAGTGGGAGGGTGCCCCTCTCCCTACCCCGACTCTCTACCCGAAGGGGACCTGCAGGGACAATATGAAGTGTGGGGTCAGGTCAAGGGAATGGAGTTCTGAGTTCCAGGGTGGGGTGTCCTCTAAGGATTCCGCTCTTTCCTGAGGGTGAAGGAGCCTGCAACCCCTCCCAGGATCCTTCAACTATGACCACCTCTAAGGCTCAGATGTTCCTGCTAGCAGGAGCCCGGAGCGGAGGTTTGGTGGGCTTGAGAGGATGTGGGGAAGAGTGGAGCCACAACACAAAGCGTGGCCTTGGCTTCCCCACAAGCATCAAGCTGGGCTTAGCTGTGCCAGCTCATCCCTCCCACCAGGACTCCCAGCTCCAGGGTGGGATATTTTGAACTTTGCCTTCTAGGATGCTGGCCAAGGGGCAGCGAGATAGGTCATTCTAGAACACTGGAGAGTAAAACAACTTGCCAAGGATGGTCTTTAGATCTCCTCTCTGAGCCTGTTTCCTTCATCTGTAAGATGGGTTGGTAAGATGTCCCTTGTTTCTTGCAAAAGAGGATATTGCAAGTGGGGGAGAGTTTAAGTCAAACAGCCCTAGGTGAAAAAATTCCTGGCACAGTCAGCCCTGGAGAAACAGCTAGATCTGGGGCCACGTCCTCAGTGCTCCTGCCCCGCTCACGGCTCTGATGTGCATGGAACTCACTGTGGAATTTGGACTCTGAGGCCAAGGAGGGTGGGTGAACCCACCAGTGGTTCCCAGTCAGCCTTGGGTCTTCCCCCAACACCCTTCATTCGAGGCTTTTTAGAGGGGCAGGGAAGTGAAGGAATAATTGGAAAAGTATTCTAAGGTGTTGGTGGGAGGGCTGCACACAGTCTCCACCGTAGAGTTGTCTCTGCAGGTGCCAGGGGACTTGTATTGCAGTGGGGTGTGTGTGTGTGTGTGTGTGTGTGTGTGTACAGTCCTGCCCTCTCTGTCTCTGAGTCATCTTGCACCCTGAATGTGGCTCTCTCTCCTGCATCCTTGGCAAATTCACCGTCACCCCTCACTGTCTGATGGCACAGCTAGGAGTCTGGGACCTGTGATAGCAGGGACCACTATGGTCTCAGTTTCCCCATCTTCCACCTGAGGGAGGCTAAACCAGAGAGGGCTAAGTGCCCCTCTAATTTGCATAGTCTAACGTTCTCACTGCCCACCTCAATCCCCAGTCCAAGCTGACATCTGTCATTAACACCACCTGCTGCCTCCTTCCAGTGAACACAATATTATTTAGGTGGGAGAGGTGGAGATGGCTGGATGTGCTCCAAGTCCTATCCAGAGGCTCTATCCTCCACCCTGCAGAAGCTGTGGATTCACTGTTCCCATACACCCACCTCATTCCTGACTGCCCACCCCAGGTGGGAGGACCCTGGCTGAGCTATCTCATGGCATCCCAGGATGTTTCGACCATGGGAATGGACTACAGGTCCTGGGGAGTCGGTTTATTTGAGGCAAAACAATTCTGTTTCCCAGATGCCGTCCTAGGGAGCCACATGTGCAGATGGCAGCGAGCCAGGGTGCATGTCACGGCCTCGTGCTAATTCTTTGCAGCTGGAAAACAGTTGGCAGCTGAAATGCCTTATGAGTTTTAAGGATAATTTTCTCCTGGGAAAAGAGCTGTGGACTAAGGTGGACAGGGGCCTAAAACTCCCAGAAACCTCTCGGTCTAGAACTGGAGTATCCATTTCCAGGATATTCCATTCTAGAGCTGACTGGACTCCCGCCCACTATGGCAGGAACTAGGGTCCCCACTCAGGAACAGCAAGGGCTCCAGTGTCCTCATCTTTCTTAAGAGAACTCAAATCCAAGAGTGATTCCCTAGGACATTTTGTCATTAACATGTTCTAGAATTTTATCTGGAACTAAACGTGTCTCTCTAGAACAGATCCCCTTGCTAACTGTGCTAGACTTCAATTCTAATTGAACCGGACAGAGAATCTTCCTAGGACATTTTGTCTGTTGAGGGTTCAAGACCTTTACCCAGGAGAGGTGTTCTAGACACTCATCTAGAACAAGGAATGGCTCTTGGAAACGGTTCACCTGAGGTGGTGAGAGTATCACCTATCACAGAGCCCACAACAAAGGCTGTCTCCCAAAGCTCACCTTTAGAACATCTCTGATGCTCTGGGTCACGCATTCCCTCACCCCCAAATCTTCAACCTCTTCATGCTTCTGCCTACCACCTGGACCCCTCAGATGTCTCGTGTTCTTTCTCCTGTCCATCTCCAGCACTGTCAGTACCCCCAATTCCCTAACCCACCCAGCTCCCTCCTTCAGTTCCCCTCTTTCCCAAGCTTCAGACCTCAGACCCCATAGGAACTGTGCCAACCCCATGCGCAGGTGTTCTAAACTCACCCCACGTAATCCACGGCCTCCGCTATCCTCCTCAGAGTGCTCCTCCCTCCACAGAAACAGTCCATCCCCCACAAATTTCAGCCAATACCCTTTCTCTAACTGGGTCCACCAAGGCGAACATGGGGGGAAAGCCAGGCACAGGAGAGGGTGTGGGGTCCCCAGTACCAGGCAACTTGGCATGGAGGCCACCATGAGAGTGGGGAGCTCATGAAGAGTAGCACCAGTTGACTCCCTGGGCCCTGGTTCAGGGGAGCTGATGGGGGTGGGCCACAGGGCTGAAAGGGAGCCTAGGGCTGGGGCCCCCACAAGGCTTCCCCTCCTCTGAAAGACCCGGTGGAGGGGGACCCCTACAAGTAGATCATTAGATCTATCTACTCCCCCTCATCCTGGAGGCCCTGGAATCCGGGGCTCAACACTGTGCTCAATGTGGGATCCACCAGCCTGTTCCTTCTAGAGAGAAGGCTGGCCTACACCGTGGTCTCATACTCCAGCAGTTCCGGGGAGGTGCCCATGCTCCGGTACTGTAACCGGGGCGTGGCAGGCGAGGAGGCCTCCAGCGCCAGAATGGTCTTTCGGAGCCTCCGGTCAATAAAATGAGCGTCCCAAGCTGGGTACTTCTTCCGGGGCAGGTCAATCCTAATCACAGGCCCCTCTGTCCGCAGGGTGCGGGCTACCGGTGTGCCAGGTAAGCCAGGACGCACCTGGAAGACAGGAGGTGTGGGGGTCCCAGCCCGCTCACCCCCCACCGAAGCCCCATCCCGCTCTGAGCCTGTAGTCCTTGGCAGGGACCTTGGGGGGCTTGTGACAGTGTCAGCTGGTGGACTACAGGGCCCTGGGGCCTCTGGGAAAATGCAGCCAGGCGACTGGGGGGCTAGCATGGGCCCATTGGGGTGCAGGAGGCAGTAGTAGACACACATGAAGAAAATGCCCAGCGCGAAGCTGGAGGCCACCACACAGACCAAGATGAGCGAGCGGAAGTCGGTGGCAAAGTTGCGGCTGGAGTACCAGAAGCCGGTGAGTGCAGCGTTCTCCAGCATCACAATGCAGTAATAGAGCGCCATGCGGCGACGGCTGCGGCCCTCCTTGACGTTAAACCAACAGAAGATGTAGATGATGCCCACCACCATGTTGTAGATGATCTCCTCCCACTTGGACATGCAGAAGTCCGTCTCTCCCTGGATGACCCAGAAGGTCATGATGCACCAGTGGGCCACAATGAAGATGCCAAAGTAGAGCTTGTAGACACTGGCGAAGAGCGCGAAGGCCAGGCCACGAGCCGCGATGGTGAACAGGTGCCACAGCACCTGGACCACGGCGCCCTTGTAGGACAGTGGTCGCTTGTCATCTCGTGAGTCCCGGAGCACCTTCTGGTAGGAGGCCAGTGTCCAGGCCAGGGACAGGAGCGAGGCGAAGGTGGAGAAGACTGTAGAGACAGGGCAGGGGCAGGGCGGGCTGGGTTAGGGGAGGGTCTGGGTTGGGGTCTGGGGAGAGGGAAGCATCTCTGGATCAGCAGGGGGCGTGGGGAGGGTGTTTGTCAGGCAGTCTTCAAGAACAAGGACAGAGCTGAGGGGTTGGGCCTATGAGGGTGAGAGGTGATGGCGTGTTCTACACAGAGGCCAGCCTGGGTCTCTAATCTGGACTAGAGTTCAGGGGCCCTGGTGGGAGGGAAGGGGAAATTGGGGTTCAGGACCCTGAGAGTAAAGAGGAGGTGAAGGGGGAGTGATTACTAGAGCACGGAGGAACTAGCAGGGGACTGTTACAAGGCATCAGTGACTAGGATGCACGGCTCGTGTGTGTGATTGTGTGTGTGTAGGGAAATTCATAATCTGACGTGGGGGTTGGGACAGGGAGAAGAGTGGAAAGGGTTCCAATACTGTCCCATATCTTGGGCCAGGAATCCCCTCAGGACCTACAGATGGTGACAGAACCTTTCAGAACACAATTAACTTCACAACCCTCTCCAATGCTGGGGGGCAGGGGGGAGCACACAGCTCAAAGGAGACCAGGGTTTGGTTTTCCTGACACTGATGGGATGGGTCTGTTTTGGCAGCATTAAGGAAGGGGCCAAGTGGGGTGTGCAAGGCCTGGTGGGGTGTGCATAGAGATCAGGAGTGGACCTGGGAGGGGCCCCTAGGCAGCTCACAAAAGCAAGTGGTCAGGTGTTCTGGAAATGGCTGGAAGTAGAGGGGTCCTCAGAAGATGCAGTCTGAGATCTGGACTGTTTGGGGAATGGACAGAGCAGGGGGTTAGCTGCAGGACCTGAGGAGTAGATGGGTCCAGGAAAGGTCCTCTCAGGATGTGGCAGCAATGTCACCACTTCTGCCCAGGCAATGGAGAAGGATGCCATATGGCAGGAGGGAGCTCCCTGGCGCCCTGAAAAGTGGCAAGGGGCGGAAAGGCCAGGTGGCTCCTGACATTGAAGGTGAGGGCGCCATCAGCTGGGGCCCCACATCTCTGGAGCCTGGGGGCAGAGAGGCGGAGGGGCGGGGCTCACCCGGCAGCTGCTGCAGCGCGTTGCTGAAGCTGTCGCCCTCGCTGTAGCTGCGGTGGACGATGAGGCTGAGCTGCAGCACGAGCTGCGGCGCGCTGCGCAGGAAGGTCTCCAGCAGGCGCAGCATGCTCACGTCGGCGCTCTCGAACAGCATCCGCCAGTAGAAGTGGCGCTGCAGCCGCTCCCCGCGCCAGCGGCTCTGCAGCCCCAGGTAGAGCGCGTGCAGGTACCTGCGGGAGACACGCAGCGCTCAGACTCTGCGCCCTCGCCTGCTGCGCGCCATGCCCCCAACGCTTAGAGGCCCTGAGCGAGTCACTGGCTGCCCCAGCCTGTTCCCTGAGCTGTAAAATGAGAGCGCTGAGAAGACCATCTCATGGGGCTGTTGTTGGGAGAGCTGAATGGGTTCATTGAAAAAAAAAAAAAGAACAAAAAACAACCTAGCCACCAAAACAAGATAAAGCTAAATAATCCAATTGAAAAATGGGCACAGGATATGAAGTCACTTCACCAAGGAAGACATTCAGATGGCCAACAAGCACATGAAGAAATGTTCAAAATCTCTAGCTCTAAGAGAGATGCAAATCAAAACAACTATGAGATATCATCTCACCTCAGTCAGAATAGCAAAATTTAACAAAGTGGCAAACAACAAATGCTGGCGAGGTTGCGGGGAAATTGGAACCCTCCTTATTCATGGATGACGGGAGTGTAAAATGGTGCAACCACTCTGGAAGGCAGTATGATGCTTTCTCAAAAAGTTGCAAATAGAAATACCATTTGACCCAGCAATTCCACTACTGGGAATATACCCAAAAGAAACCAGAACTGACATCCAAGCAGATATGTGCACACCCATGTTTATTGTGTCTTTGTTCACAATAGCAAGGAGTTGGAAACAACCCAAGTGCCCATCAACAAATGAATGGATAGAGAAGCTGTGGTATATTCACACAATGGAATACTATGCTGCATTGAAAAACAAGGAACTCATGCAATATTATTCAAAATGGGTGACCCTGGAGGATATTATGCTGAGTGACATATCTCAGTCACAAAAGGACAAATACTGCACAGTGCCACTGTTGTAGAACAGGACCAACATCAGGGTTGGGATGAGATAGAAAAATTGGATAAATTATGTATATTATTATGGGAGTGTAATAAATTATGTATGCATTGAAACAGATGAGGGAGAGAACAGTTTAAAAGCGATATATGATTGGGTATTATGGTCATGACAAGAGTCCAGAATGAAGGCTGCATAGTGGAGTGTAGTGGGGGGAGGGGAAGGGTTTATATACCAATGAAAAGAATTTTTTTACACTTTTTTTTTAATTATTATTTTTGTGTGAGTGTACCGTCAAATCAGATCTGACTGGTACAGGAGGAAATTGTCCCTCCTTCCCCAGCAGAGCATCTGGTGGATTCGAACCGTGCGCCTCTGGGATTGTAGTTGCAGGTCCTTGCCACTATTTTTTACACTTTTCAAAGAGAAGAGTGAACTGGGGGGGGAAGGGTGGGCAGGGAGAAAAATGCAAAAATGAATGAATGGAAATCCAAAATCTCTGTAAATGTTCATTAAAATTAATAAAATTAAAAGAGAGAAAAAAACACACCAAAAACCTAGTGCGCTCGCACCCCCCCCCCAAACAATAATGAAAAAACCAACTAGCACGCAGTAAACCCTTAATATGGCATCAGCGTGATCATGAAGGGGAGGGGAGGGGGTCGCTGCATTGTTTTGCAGGGTTCTTGATGCCTTACAGTGCGCTGAGGTGACAAGTCAGTGAGAAAGCAGTTGTCCAGTAGTCAGGAACTTAGGGAGACAAATGTGCATCAGAGCAGAAATGTGATCCACAGGATTTTCAAACATAATTTTTCAGAAGTTCACAGCCAGACATTTCTTCTGTGCTGCCTCCATTGACTTATCATTACCCTCATTTTATAGGTGAGGGAAAGAAGCTCTTCTAGTGGTGCCATGGTTAAGTGTTGGGTTGCTGATTAAAAGGTTGGTGTTTTGAAACACAGCCCATCCCCACCCCAGATTCTCCAAGGGAGAAAGACTTGGTGATTGGCTTCTGTAAAGAGTGTTGTTGTTGTTGTTGTTGTTGTTGTTATGTACTGTCAAGTTGTACCTGATCCATAATTGACCCTCTAATGGGTTTTCAGAAGCAGTTAATCACATGGGAGGAGATTGCCCATATTTCTCCTGCAGAGCACCTGGCGGACTCAAACCATGTACCTTTGAATTGGCAGCCCAATTCCTTACCCCTCAACCACCAGAGTTCCCATCTGTAAAGACTACAGCTAAGAGAACCCTATGGGGCATTTCTAACCTATCATACGGCGTCACTCGGAGTAAAAAAATCAACTCTATGACATGTAACAACATAGATGACAGACACAGAAAGTCATGCCCCTTGTTCAAGGCCACACATCTAGGAAGCGGTGGAATAAAAATTCAGACCTAGGCCGCCAGACCTCAGGGGCCACACTCACTATTCATTACACACCATGGTGGCCCTTTGTTAGCCACCAAATGCTGCTCACACAGCGCTTCCTGCACCCCGCTTCTGGAGGGACTATCCTTCAGAGACAATCCCGTGGCCTGCAGCAGCTTCCTGGCCTGCTCCCACATCCCACCTCAGGGTGCCCTGTTTACGCTGCAGGACACAGACAAGCTGCTCATAGACACCTCCTCTGGTGCACGAACCTTTGCCACGTCACCTCTTGTCACTTCTCCCAGTGAACTTCCTGGCCTCAGCCACTGAGCGCCTGCTGTTTCTCCACCTGGAACACACTGCGCCGTCCTCCAGCCCCCCCTCAGCCCCAAACCTGGATAGATCTCAGCTTTTCTATTTGACTTCTTCCAGGAAACCTCTGCTTACTGCCTTTCCAGCTGGAGGTGTCCTTGTGTGGTATAAAGGGGTAAGCTCTGGGCTGCCAACCGAAAGGTTCTGACTTATCCAGAAATGCCTTCAAAGAAAAGGCCTGGTTGTCTGCTTCTGACAGGTCACTGCAATGAAAATCCTCCCAAGGGCTCTGCCACACAAGGGGCCCCCATGAACCAGAAGGGACTGCAGAGCAGTGAGGTCCATAAGTGATAGAAATGGCTTGCATTCCGCTACTAACCTAAAGCTTGGTAGTTTGAACTCATTCAGCAGCGCTGAGGAAGAAAGGCCTGGCCATCTGTTTCTGAAATGTACTTCTTGTCTACAATACATGGAGTTACCATGAGTTAGGATAGACACAGTGGCAACTGGTTCTGTTTGGGTTCCCTGCTGGTGTAGAGGCCTCTCCAAGGCTTCCCAATCAACTAGAACTTGTCACAGTGGCTTCTAACTGCCTTCTTATGAATTCAGCCATCTCCCCCAGCAACACTGTGAGCTGCATGAGAATGAGTAGGCCCGACTGCTGAACCACAGCTGTACTCTAGTGCTTAGCACACAGTAAGCATTGAATCCATGGCAGCAGAATAAATGTGTACATGGAATACTGACAGTCCTGTAGGTAATGTGAAAGGGATTCTAAGGTCCTATGTTCAAATCCTGACTTTGCTTCTAATTTACTATGTGACCTTGAGCAAGACAATTACTCTCTAAGAGCCCCAGTCAATGAATCTCTGCCGAGGTGGTTATGAAGATGAAATGCATGAAAAGCTATTTAGTAAACTAAAATGCAGTGACCATACTGGATAGGACACGTCCACACAGTCTCTGGCTCTCAGTCCCTGCCTCTGTCCTGGGTTCTTGCTGAGTGTTCGATCCTTGGTCATGGCAGCCACAGACCTCCCCAGTCTCAGCTCCCTCAAATGCTCCGATTCATGGGAAAGGTATGCTCTTTTTTTTTAACTCCTCCAAATGTGAGCTCCCTGGGAAACAAGGCAAAACATTCCTAACACAGCCTCAGAGACCTTGTAGCCTGAATCTGCAATCGGAGATGTGAGCATTTTGAGGTCTATGCTCAGGTGCGCCAAAGGGATGGATAATAAACTACTGGTGGTGTTAACCAATGTGAGGACTTCCTGGAATGGTGTTCAGGACTGGTGAATGGGTACCAGCTCCCGGCAGCTGTGTAACCCTCTCTGGGCCAGTTTCTCCCCTACAATGAAAGGGATGCACTTGAAGACTCTGGAGATCCTTCTAAAGACAAGGTTTGGGGCCCAAACTCTCCACTAAAGGTGGCCAGAAACATCGTATTATGTCCCTAGCTGGCGCCAACAATTTCAGGCTCAACCACTAACCTGAATGTTGACAGTTTGAAGTGCAGTGCTGTGGAAAAGCTGGGCAATCTCACCATAAAAAGACTGCAGCCAAGAAAACCCTAGAGGGTACACAGGGTCACCAGGGATCAGAATCAACTCCACAGCAAGGTGGGTTTTTTTGTGTTATGGTTTCTCCATTCCTTGAGGCACTAATGGATGATAGAAGATATAGACACATCCTCTAGACAACACTGTCTCCATATGGGGTTGATGGCAGCATGGAAAAGGGGCTGCTCCTCCGGAATCTGATTCAGAAAACATGAAGGCCATTCAGCCCAACTCTCCCAGCCAGGGCTTGGGTTCCTTCGACAGATCCATTGTGTATATGCTATGTTCACAAGCTTCCCAGGGCGCCACTATCTCCAGGGTCAGACCTTCCTCTCTGAGCAGGCTCAAGGCTGCATTGTTTTTCTTTGGATGAGCAAAAATTTGTCTCTGCCTTCCTGGCTGATCGTTACAGCCAGAGGTTGAAGGCTGGGATCATCCATTCATGCAGCAGGCACATTTTGAAAACTTGCTCTATTGCCAGGCCCTGTGTCGTTCAGTATCTCACAGGCTCATGGGAGAGAGACAAGGTAAGAGCTGAGACAGATCCTACCAGATGCTGTGGAATCTACCTTGGGGAAGGGCGTCAAGGAAGGCTTCCTGGAGGAAGACACATTTGAACTTGGTTTCAAAGCATAGATGGGGATTTGAAAGCACAGTTTAAGGGCATTCCTGGTAAAAGGTGCAGTTGATGCAAAGGCAAAGAGGCATAAGGACATAGAGCCTTTTAAAGGGATGGTGCTATAGGATCCTTATGAACTGACGTGAAGGCAGAGGGAGTGGGGTTGGGAGGCAGTGGTTTAATGCCCCTGAAGGGGAGGGTGTTAGTGGTCAGTGGTATAAGAAGCAGAAGTTATAAAGGGCATAAAATTCTGGGCTAAGGAGTTCAGATTTTATTCCAAATCAGAATTTTATCCTGGA